TGAATTTACACTATATAGTCATTATAGTGTAGTAACTATACGTACAGCGTATGTATGGTGTCAGGTACTAGATCTATCAGCGTGATCACTTAGTAAGTTACATACATGTTTAATCATTATTTTGCACACCTAGACTAATATAATATGGTATGTCCACTGTAATTGACTTTTTTTTAATTTTAAAAAAGGAATGGTGTGAAAGAATAGATTTTCTGCCTCCTATTCACAGGAAGAGAAATAAAAACTTATATGAATATAGTGCTAGTTTCATTCATTACAAAAAAAAAATTTTAAAAAAGGCATTGTGTGAAAGAATAGATTTTATGCCTCCTATTCACAGGAAGAGAAATAAAAATTTATATGAATATAGTGCTAGTTTCATTCATTACCCATTTAATTTAATATCTGCCTGAATTACCCACACTGTTTAACGTTACTAGGTAATTGGAGGATAGAAGACATAAAACTACGTGAGAGGTCCAAATAGCTGTGTTGTGTTTGAGAATACTGAGTTGCCTAACCATCCCGGGTTAGATTCATGCTGTCATCGCCGCTGACTATTGCTCCGCTTCACCTCATCTTGCTGAACTCTCACTCAGCCTTTACAGTCCGCCTGAACTCTCATCTGCGCTGAGACATTCCTCGACCTTTCATGCTGATAGTCTCCCTTCCCCACATTACACAGGGCACCTCTGCGCTGGCTCTCGGGGAACAGTGCTGTACTCACCACTTCCTTGTCTGTTTTCCTTGTCTGTGATGTCACTCATGTCCGTACAGGGCTTAGTTGTTTTTTTTTTTTCTCATATCTGCCTTCTCCGTGCAAAGAACAGTGTTTTCCACATAGCGAGCCTCAGTAAGTGCATGTTAAGTGACTTAATAAATGGAGAACAGTGATAAATGAAAGGCTTGGGGTAGAAACAGTAGTCTATTCCAGCTCTTCAGTGTTATTATTATCCAACGTAACCTGCTATTTACTTTGACAATGTACATTTGTACTGATTCATTTTCTCCTTTTTATAGGCGGCCCATCTACTACAGAGAGCAGGGGCATCATCGTGTGTTTCTTTGAAGGCCTGAAAATGATTCCATCAGCCCTAGCCGGTTTGCCTCGGTGGATAGAACGTTGGCCTGCGGATGAAGGGTCTCAGGTTTGATTCTGTTCAAGGGCCAGGTCACGGTTCAATTCCTGGTCAGGGCACGTGCCCAGGTTGTGAGTTTGATCCCCAGAGGGGGTCGTGCAGGAGGCAGCCAATCACGGATTCCCTCTCATCATTAATGTTTCTATTTCTCTCTCTTCCTTTCTCTCTGAAATCAATAAAAATATATTTAAAAAATAAAAAAGATTATGAAAAAAACAAACAAACCATCAAATATTACCTCAAAATATCACAGGATGTTTTGTACCTTTTTGCCATTTTTTCTCACTTGGGCTGGTCTCAGAAAAGATCTTGATCACTGTAGGGGCTAAAATTAACAATGTAGCAGGTAGCTGTATGTGGAAGAAGAGGCATTCTCCCTAGAATAAGGTGTTCTTTTTTAAACTGCAAGCACTAAAGCGCATAGCAGCTTGTTTCTGAAGACTCCTTTGTCACTTTTTTTCTTCAATCCTTAGTATGAGCCCTAAATTCTTGACTTCCGTGGTGTGCATATACAAGTCTAACTTGCATTTACTTCTCTGCCTTTTCTGTTCTCACTATATGATTGACCAGTATGCATGTGACTTCTATTCTCCTCTCTTCTTCCACCAGCAAGATTCTATCTATCTATCATCTATCTATCTATCATCTACCTATCACCTATCTATCTATCTATCTATCATCTATCTATCTATCTATCTATCTATCTATCTATCATCTATCTATTTATCATCTATCATCCATTATCTATCTATATATCTTAAGATTCCTCTGCCATATATATATATGTAAAGCAGTGAGTATATCATTGATGAAAAGTGGATAAAAACCCTAAAAGACCCCTGACCCATTTTGACAAAGACAAAGACAACAAAGAACAAAGACAAAAAAAAAAACCACAAAAAACAAAAAACCTTAAAAGAAACAAAACCCAGGAAGGCTAAGTTTAAGCACAGTTCAGGAAGAGTGAAAGGATACCTATGGATTTAGATAAATATGCAAACATAATGGTATAAAATTATGGGCAATGGAGGCATTTGAGGATTTTCCTTTTTTGTGTGTGTGGCCCCCTATAATGATTTCCCATAGAAAGAGAGAGAAGAATGAACGCCATAAAAAGCTCCAGAGTTCAGCATCATGCTGTTCAAGGGAGATTCACTCAAAACCTTTATCGCGGAATTTTTTTGGCATCAAGGCCCATCACCTTTCCCTTGCTTCCTCTCTACGCTCCCTCTTGAGACATGGGTTCTAGGGAAAAGATGTTGACTGTTAAGGAAATTTTCCACCATTTAATTCCCCTTTTAGGAAATTATTGATGCCTAGATGCAAATTCTGACTTAAGCATGTTATAAATTAATTAATGTGATGGGCTTGCTGGTCAGTTTTAATATCATGAAATCTATAAAAGTATAAATTATTTATAATCCTTTACCACAGTCGATGAAATAATAAGATTTTTTTTTGTCATGGTTTCACTAAGTAACCTGGAAATTAAGTCACCTGGCTTCACCTAGGGGGGTTAACATTGGAGCATAATTAAGGATAATTAAGGACATTCATTTATATGTTACAGGGTATATTTCCCCTAGAACAAAACAAGATTTTGTTCAACTTTGTATAGTCAATAAAAAAGGAGATACAATGAATCTGAGCTATTATATTTCCACTAAAAACACCATTTCTGGAAAATTTTACTCTGATCCTTGATTAATACCCAGGAATAAAGAGTTACAGACAATGGCCTTCTTTTCCTGAAGCATGGTCAGCAATTTCTGCTTTCTACCTTGGAATTCAAATTTTTTTGTACACACTTTTTCCCATGGTACACTATTTTTCTGGGTTGTGGAGATAGATGATAGTATCTTGTAACATCTCACCCAATACAATATTAGTACACAGTTGTCTTCAATACATTTACTGAGATTGATCAAACTATTTCCCTTCACTCTAACTTACTCTCTGCATGTTCGTGCAAATCACTCTAACCCAAAAAGTGGGTCTGTGACTTCAACATGTAGAAACGAAGGACACATTTGTCATTGAGTAAGGCATTGACTCAGCAAATTCTAATGTGTTAACTATTAGTGCTACCCATGCTGTTGTCATAACCTGGTTATTATTTAATAGGAGAGGAGTGAAAGGGGAGAGAAAATAACAATATAATATAAGCATGCCATTTATGCAGCTTTTCCAAAAGGCTGCATTTAACATTCTCCAAGTCCCAGAAGCAGGCCCCGTAAGGTCTGAGTGACATGGGAAGGTGCCTATCTGTCTGCTGGTTATACCTGGGAACAAATGGGTGTGGCCATTACAAGCACGCTAAACCTGAATATTTAAACTTCTACACAAAGAAGTGAGGTCTTCCTTTTCTCTCTCACACATGCGCCAGGTCCTCTGCAACATGGAACGGAAGCTCTGGACACTGGCCCTCCTTCTGGCTGTGCTGACCTCTGAGCTGCCCTCTCTCAGGATGGCTTTGGGGAGATAGGACATTGGACACGGAGACATGTAACTCCACACCAATAAAACCTTCTTCTTCCACATCCATCTTCCCATGAGAATCTTAGGAAATTCATTTTCTGAATATATCTCAAGAACCTCATTCCCACCCGAGTCTGGGAAATCTGAGCCATTAATTCCTCCTGCAACACTATCACTGTCTTTCAGGATAGATGAGGAGACCCCTGAACATTTCACTTTTCATTCACGATATATGTATGTTTCATTCTTGTTTTAATCACATGACACTATTTATTGTGCATGCATGATGCACCAACAGTGTGTAAGGTATTGCTGTACACATTAAATGTATATAAAATGAGTAGTGTGCTTTCTTGAACGGAGTTAATAATGACTTATTAACAATTTTAACTGTAGGAGAGCGGCTTTCTCTCTTGAGGTTCTATATGAATATTGCCTATTTGTAATTATTGCAGCCAACTCAACATGAAAAAAAAGCACAACTCTAAATAAACACCCTTGAATACAGAAACATACTTTTTTTTAAAATCAAGAAACCACTCCATCACTGCTTTCTGTGTTTATGTAACCTAGCTAACCACGCAAGGGAACACACAGAGCCTTTGAAGGAGAATAAGTTGCCTATCACTTTTGTAATCCCTTAAGAAACTGTTATGGATAAATTTTGCTGACGAGAATTCTTCACCTTATCACATTTATACATTGATGTCTTCATTGTGTTTCGCCTTTGTCACCTGGCTCTTAAATCAAAGTTAAATGATGACAAACCACAGCCATGCTACCACTCTTTATGGTTTCCTTAAAACAGAGGACACATATACTAGTATTTACAACCTTGTAAATAAGTACTTGAAAATACAGATCTAAAAAATGGATCCAGGGTTAGAATCACTATAAATCACAGATTCCTTTGTGTCTGTCAGCTATTGTTCTTTAGCAAACCATCCCAATTGAGATGCTTACCAGGAAAAGCATTTATTCCTATACATTTGCTTATCAATCCAGCTGGGGTGTCATTGCTTTAAACTGCTGATCTATTGGTTCACCTCTGCTGACTTTTCCTGGCTTTGGCTGTGTCAGTTTCACGCCATGGGTCCAGCTGAGGTCTACTTTAAGTGCCTTTTGTTTTTCTGGGATTATCAGGCTACTCAGCATGTTTTTAGATTAGAGGCAGAATGCAAGAAAGAAAGCCCAGCACATTTCAAGCCTCTGCTTGCATCACATCTGCTGCTATCCCAGGAGACAAAAGTAAGTTACAAACCCAAAGATGAGGAGAGGCAGAAAAATACTCCTCATGTGGAAATAATAGAAATCTAAAGAGCAGCCTAATATACACCATAACACATAATAACCAACTTCTCTGAGTTTCACTGAAAAGTTCCACTAAAATTAAAGGTTTAAATGAATTATAACAGTAAGTAATTTTAAAAATGGGCTTTTGACTCAAGGGTCTGTGTAACAATGCTTTGTATATCACTGACTTTTAGCAGACAGCTAGCTAGCTACGCACTATTCTATAAATGTTCACTGGGTGACATGGTATAAGACACATACAGATGTCATCAATGTAATAATGCTCAAACAAAAGAAACACCTATATTTTTGTACCAAGAATTTCCCCACACAGTTCAAAAACATACATGCACATATTTCAGGCTCACTGACTCATCTTCTATGGACGTTCTCCAAAGTATTAACTTTCCTGGAAGGAGTTGCATTAATTAGTAGATATTTAATTAGATTTGCATTAATGATATAAACAGAATATAAAAATTCATTTTTATTTGTGTTGTCCTTTTAGAATCATTAATCAACTGAGAGGTATGAATAAGTATGACAGGAGTTTGAAATTTGAAAATTGAGTACTTTTTTAATAAATCTGGTATCATTACAGTAATTATAATTAGTAAAAACTCAAAGTGACATGGGGTCTATATAGTCCCATTTTTTTAGTGTCAGCTAAATGGGGCTAACTCCCCCCCAAAATATACATATTTTTCCCATAACACACACAAGCACATGTGAGGAGCAGATTAGGTTTGGGGAAAGTTGATAGGTGTGTCCCCGCCCCAGAGAGCCACCACTCAGTCCACCTTGGATTCTTCCCAGAATTCAGCTGGATAGACGGAGTAAAGGGGGTGGGAACACCGGGAGCTAGGAGAGTGGGGCTAGAAGACCTACCAGAGGAGGAAGCTCCAGTCAGGATCACAGAAAGTGGGGGGAACAGTCCCTGTCCCTAAACCACACACTTAGTCACTGACACCCCTTGAGTCTGTCCAGACCTCTACACTTCAGCCCAGGTGACTGACTCCGTAGCATGGCCGAAGCTCCCAGCTTCCCTGGTCCACAGGGAAACCAGAGGGTGGGTCATTGCTTTCCCCCCGTCTTGATGCTGCACAGAGGGGTGTGCTCCCGCCAAGAAAGATGGTGTCTGTGGTGCAGTAGAGTGACTCAGCACGGGGGGTCCTGACAGTTGTCCCCTCAACTCTCTCCCCAGAGCCACAAACCCCAGTCTCTACTCGCACAACTCTAGTCTGCTCCGCCCTCCCTTCGCCAGAACCCAGAGAAATAGTTGCAAAAGAGATTTGGTGTGTTGGCCTTTCAAGAGGGTTCCTGAGTTTCTGGTAGACTCTCTGTCTCTCCCTGGCAGACAAAACCTTCGCTGCTTTTCACACCAGATGTGAGCACCTCTTCCAATCTCTGGTGCTCTGAGCTGGGGAGCCTGGCTTGGGCTTGAGATCCCACGCTTATCAGGGGAACCGCTCCCAGCTGAGATATCCCTCTGGAACCTCAGGTGCCACTGGTGAGAGTAGGGCCAGCCCTTTTTGCGTCCCTGCCCTTCCTACCAGTCCCGATGTGTCTTCTTCTATAAATTCTTCACCGTAAGACTCCTCTTCAGTGAGTTTTCAGTTGGTTATTCAGGTTGATTGCTCTATATTTTAGTTATTACTTTCAGTTTGGGGTGGGAGGAGGTGGTGTAATATCCCCCTACTCTGCCACCATTGTGGACTGCAGAGACAGCTGACTCTGCCTACCAGGTGACTGATAATGTCAGAAAATACTGATATAACTGATAATATGGAAAACATGGAGAGATCCATGTCCCTAGCATGCAAGAAGGGGAAATTTCTTGAGTATGCCATAACAGAATATGTTACCTTTTTGGTAACAAAATTTTAGTGGATTAAACAATCAACATTTATAATTTATTAAAGCAAAAACCTGTATCCAGATAAGAAAAAGATTAACTGACCCATAAGCAGCAACTCAGTGATTCAGAATATGGGGAAGTACTACCATCTTGGAACAACAGCTTTTGGGGCATGAGACCTCCTTGGTGGGCACTTCAGAGAAAGAAGCACCTGAATGATGATAGCTGGCTTTCCATGCTTTGGTCCCAAAAATATATATGTAAATTATGCTCATGGACATTGAACAGAGCAAATCACATGGCCCTAATGATCTTCAAGCGGATGAAAAATGCAGTCATATTTGTGCACAGCACAGAGAAAAATGAGATACTGGTGAGCACTGATAATATTTTTTCCATACAGCCTAGTACTTAAAGTAATTGATTTTGGCATAGAGCTTTACAGTATTGGGCACATTAGTTAGATTATGTGGGCCTCAACTTTCTGATTTATAATATGGAAGGCAATAATATTGGTCTAACAGAACAATTAGAGAATCAAAGGAGGTAATTACTGCAGACACATGGCCCTCAATGATATTAGTCATTATCATAACCATCATTGTCATCGTCAATATCATTGTCTGTATCACTAGCTCTTGACAACATGTACCACCAAAGCTGATAGATTTTGATGGCTGTTATTAATATTCATAGAAACATAGAACATTAGAACTGGAAGGACTTTAGAGGTTAGCTAATTCAGTCTTGTTCTTTCATTAATGATAAAACAGATGCCCCATTAGGTTAAGAGAACTACCCAGGCCAAATTCACCTTGTGGAAGAATTGGCACCAGTGTCCTTTGGTCTCAGGTAAGGACAATTGCGACCTTCTACCAGACATGGACTAAAAATATCCAAATGTCTTTCTTATAGTGAAGCCTGTTCCATGTTACCTCTTCTCATTGTAATCCAATCATTAGTAGGTATTTTGTAATTAATTAAAATCTCCCCCAAAGATGCCAGCTCAATGACTGCATAAGCATGGCAGACTATGTGGAAGAACTGAGCACTGGTAGTGGGAGAAAACATATTTTCCAATTACTAAGAACAAGTCACTGATTGAAATTTTGCTTACACTGTTCAAAATGAGGAAATTTAATGGTGGAAATGACTAAGAAAAAGAAAAGAGTGAAAGTGTTAATAGATCAGTTTACTTACTACATTCAATAAATCATTGAAAGGAAGGCAGTATATGACTTATAATGATATAAATATTTTTTTTGTTTTATCTTCCCTCTAAAAACAGCACAAAAACTCTATCCTATATAATAAAGAGGTAATATGCAAATTGACCATCATTCCAACACACAAGATGGCCGCCCCCATGTGGACACAAGATGGCTGGCAGGGGAAGCGAGTTGTGGGCAATCAGGCCAGCAGGGGAAGACAGTTGGGGGAGACCAGGCCTGCAGGGGAGGGCAGTTAGGGGTGATCAGGCTGGCAGGGGAGCAGTTAGGCATTGATCATGCTGGCAGGGCAATGGTTAGAGGGTGATCAGGCTGGCAGGCAGAAGTGGTTAGGGGCAATCAGGCAGGCAGGTGAATGGTTGGGAGCCAACATTCCTGGATTGTAAGAGGGATATCTAGTGGGATCGGGCCTAAATGGGCAGTCGGACATCCCTTGAGGGGTCCCAGATTGGAGAGGGGGCAAGCTGGGCTGAAGGACACCCCCCACATATGAATTTCATGCACCAGGCCTCTAGTTAAAATTATAAGAGTCAAAGAGGTTACAGAACTCAAAATCAAGAATATAACTAATGCCCCTGGAATTTCAGACTTAGTTTGTGGAAGAAATTTGTACCATCTGGACATATATGAATAGAAAAGAAAAGGCCAGCCAACAATTGCTTAATAAATGGATAAGACATAATATGCTAAATGCCAAAATGTCATTTCAAATTTAGAAATGCTGCTTAAAAAACTTTTACAAGAATTCTACAACTGTTTATATAATATCAAAAATTTTTCTTTTAAATTAATTACACTAGCTCCTCCTTATCTATAGGAGATATGGTCCAAGAAATGCTGAGTGGATGCCTGAAACAAGACATAATACCAAATACTCTATAAACAATGTCTTTTTCTATGCATGCATATCTGTGATAACGTTTAATTTATAAATTAGGCATAGTAAGAGATAAACAACAATTAATAATAAAGTAGAACAATTATAACAACATACTGTAATAAAAGTTATGTGAATGTGGTATGGGTCTCTCTCCAGAATGTTATAAAAATTAAACAAAACTATGTTTATAGAAAAGTGCTTTTACTCAAAAATAATATTGTATATTTTTAATATAATATAAAAATGTTGTATACTTTATGTTGCCAGTTTCATTGCAATCCAATGTTCCTTCCAATCAAAATTATTTGTGTTAGCTATAAAGCATTGATATACATTTAGAAAATACAGAATTAGATTTCCTTTGCTTGTTAAAGAATAGTAAAAATTGTTAGAAACATAATAATCTGATACACTATGTCATTTTACTTTAAAATACTAAAATCATATATTACTGCAAAAAATATGTTGCACAATGTCAGTGGTAGCAAAAAACCATAAGAAACCTCATGAACAACACTGAAGATACAGAATGTAAAAAGTCAAAGAGAACAATAGACATGGAAACATTTTGAATTTGATAAAATCTCACTCTGACACATGGACATCAGACTTGAATAAATATTAATAGTGATTGTATTCACGTTTGTAATTCAATAAAATGTAATTTTATATCCTTCTTTAAATCAGAAAAGTCTGATAGGAATGATTGATGGAATTAGAGATATATGAGAAACGAAAACGATGAAATCCATTATGTGGGAAATCACAATTGTGCTGCACTCACAAAAGCTTTAGACAGTTAGTTTCCAAACTTGAAACCAGATATGCTATTTACAGGTGAATATTAAATTTTTGAAATTGTGCAGTTTCTCACCTTAAAACCTCCTCTTTGTCCCAACGTGATGTATTGAAATGTGTCAAATTTATATTCTGCTCCCCTACAGCACCAGGTCAATTAACAGACTATCACACTGCATAATTTTTCCAA